GAAAAGGCTCCCATTAAGAATATCACATAACGGCCGCCAAAGAACGTTTGGAAAATCTAAAGAGAACGCATTAAAACGTTATTACCATTTTTCCATGACTACCTCATCCTTGATTCGAGCAGCTTCAAGTTGTTTCTCTTTCAAAATGAAGAAAAGCGCGGCCAGAAGCATTATTGTGCCATGTCCGAGATCACCAAACATGACTGCGAACAAGAATGGGAAGGAGATCATGGTGTAAGGCGCTGAATAGCACAACTGGTACAAAGTGTTGAAGATAATAAAGGTGAAATAGAACCAAAGGGCTTTATTTATACCCGGGTTAATTTCTCGGTATGTGGCTATGCCGTAGGCGTCCACAATGTTTTGAAAGCCCCTCGTGAATTTGTTAGTTTTATGGTAAGTAGGAGGTGCCTCCGCCGTTTCCATGCGATTTAGTATTGATGGAACTTGGCTCCCACTTTCTTCCTGTAGTTAACGGCTTACGAGAACAGTAACGTAGAACAAAAACGAACCGTTCCCCTCTTCAGAGCCATTTTGATGCGATCCAACTCACTTACTGGGCACCAACATTCGGCGATTAGGCATTTCTGTAATTATAGATTCTCTAGAAAAGGATTCTAGCTATAGAAGTAGAGCCAAAATAGACCGATGTAATTAACATGAGTATATTTAAATGTAAAAATCTCTATGCTCACATGAGTGACGTCGATATTGAAAAGATTCAATGTATGGTAGATGGACTTGATTTTCCGAACTTTAGTTAGCCACATGCGTACATTTTTCGAAGCAGCTACCTGAAACAAGACCATTCTACAGTATAAACAGTATAGAAATCTAAACTCCACCAAAACGTGATGGCGGTGGTCCTGAGTTTGTCCCAAAACGGTCTTCAGATCTTCTATTCTTGTCATAACCCCAATGGACATCTCACGACGTTCTTGGGGTGTGTCTGGACACGGGTACAGTGTTGCGCGAAATCTGAAATACATTTTATTTTTACTGGCA